AGATGCGCCCCCAGTGACCCCCCCGGAGCCCACAGCGGGGTGAGCGGAGGAAGGTGGGAGGTCGAAGAGGGATTTGTCAAAGGGGGGGGTTCTGTCAAGAGTGGTTGTGAGGGAGTCAAAGGGTTTTTTTGGGGGGATCAAAGGTGGGGTTTGGGGCTGTCCAAGGGGGATTTGGGGGGGGGGGTGGGGGTGTCCAAGGAGGTTGTTGTGGAGACCGGTTCTGGGGAATCAAAGGAGAGTGATGAAAGGGGGGGGCTTTGTCCAAGGAAGATGGGGGGTCCAAGGGGGATTTGGGAGTGTCAAAGGGTGATTTAGGGGGTGTCAAAGGGTTTTTTTTGGGGGGGTCAAAGGGGGGTTTTGGGGGGGGTCAAAGATGTGTTTTGGGGGGGGGTAATGGGGGTTCTGGGGGGTCAAAAGTGGGGTTCTGGGGGGGGTCTAAGGGTGATTTAGGGGGGTCAAAGGTGGGTTTTGGGCTGTGTAAGGGTGTTTCAGGGGGGTCAAAAGGGGGTTTTCGGGGAGGTGAAGGAGTGGGGTCTAAAAGAGGAGTTTTGGGGGTGTCCAAGGGGGATTTGTTGGAAGGATGAGGTGGGATGTGAAGGGGCGGTGCCGGGGCTCCATCTGCCTCATTTCCCTCTTTCCTCCCCAGCTCTGTCCCCCCCCCAAGCAGTGGGGGGCGCTCTGCTGATGCTGCCTCAACGCTCGGTGGGTGCTTGCCAGAAACGGGGGTTGCAAAGAAGGGGGTTGTTCCGTTGTCATTGGGCTTCAGAGTTAACAGGGGGGAGCTCCCATTGACACCCAGTGTGAGCAGCGTCCCTTTGGGGTCAGTAGGTTCCAGGGTTAACAAAGGGCTTTAATGGGTCCCTATGGGGGTGCTGGAAGTGTTTTTTGGGGTTCGCTTCAGAGTTAACGAGCTCCCATTGACACCCAGTGTGAGCAGCGTCCCTTTGGGGTCAGTAGGTTCCAGGGTTAACAAAGGGCTTTAATGGGTCCCTATGGGGATATTGGGGTGCTGGAAGCAGAGAAAGGGGGTTCGCTTCAGAGTTAACAGAGCTCCCATTGACACCCAGTGTGAGCAGCGTCCTTTTGGGGTCAGTAGGTTCCAGGGTTAACAAGGGTTTTAATGGGTCCTTATGGGGGTGCTGATCTTTGGGGTGCCCCGGGCTCACTGTGGGGGTGCCTGCAGTGACGGGCTCCGAGTACGAGACGATGCTGCAGGAGATCGTGTCCATGGGCTACGAGCGCGAGCGGGTGGTGGCCGCCCTGCGGGCCAGCTACAACAACCCCCACCGGGCCGTGGAGTACCTGCTCACGGTGGGGAGGGGCTGGGGTGGGGGGGGTCTGTGGGGATGGGGGGGTTCTATGGGGCTGGGGGGTTTTGGGGTATGTTCTGTGGGCTGAAGATGGGTGGGTTCTGTGGGGCTCGGGAGATGCCTGCTGACTCTATGGGGCTGGCGTGGGGGGGTTCTGTGGGGCCAGGGAGATTCTGTGGGGCTGGGGGGTTTTGGGGTATGGGGGGGTTCTGTGGAGCTGTGGTGGGGGGGGTCTGTGGGGCTGGGGGGGTTCTGTGGGGCTGGGAGGACTCTGTGGGGATGGGGTGAGAGGGTTCTGTGGGGCTGGGATGGGGGGTTCTGTAGGACCAGGGAGGTTCTATGGGCGGGGATGGGGGGGTTCTGTGGGGCTGGGGTAAGGGGGTTCTTTGGGGCTGGGGGGAAATCCCTGGGGGGCTGGGGGGACTCTATGGGGCTGGGGTGGGGGGGTTCTAGGGGGATGGGGGGTTCTGTGGGGCCAGGGAGGTTCTGTGGGGATGGGGGGTTTCGAGGTATGGGGGGGTTCTGTGGGGGCGATGGGGAGCCTGGGGGGTGTGTGTGACGCTGGGGGGCTTTCAATGGGGCTGGTGGGTTCTGTGGGGCTGGCGGAGGGTTCTATGGGGTTGGAGTGTTTCGTTGGGCTTGGGAGCTCCTATGGGGTTGTGGTTGCCTGTAGGGCTGGGGTTTCCTGTAGAGCTGGGGGGATCTATAGGTCAGGAGAGCTTCTATGGGGCTGGGGCCCTATGGGGCTGGGGGTGCAGGATTGGGCCCCCCTGACCTCCCTTTGTCCCCCCCCAACCAGGGCATCCCCGGCAGCCCCGAGCCCGAGCGCCCCCCAGTGCAGGAGAGCCGCCCCCCGGAGCAGCCCCCTCCTGAAGGTGGGTGTGGGCGGGGCTTGGGATGGACACGCCCACAAAGGGGAGGAGCTCAAAAGCATCCCCCCCCGTTAGGGTGAGGCTCCTCCTCCAATGGGAGTGAAGGGGCGGGGGGGGGGGGGCTTGTGTGAACCCCTCCCATAAAAGGGCAGGGATTTGATTGGTCGCACCCATGTGACGTCAGTGTTGTGGTTGAGAAGCTCCGCCCCTTTTAAGGGTGGAGCACTTATAGAGAGGAGCCTACGGTGAGGAGGGGGTGCGGCTTGCTGAAGCCACGCCCACAAATCGGGAGCTTCTCATTGGTCACCCCCTGAGCTTGTCCCCCAATAGCTGCGCTGGGTGCGGCTTGGGGGTGTGTCCTCCTGCAGCCCCGCCCACCGCGCCCCATTCCCCCCCCCATAGGGGAGAACCCGCTGGAGTTCCTGCGGGAGCAGCCGCAGTTCCAGAACATGCGCCAGGTGATCCAGCAGAACCCGGCCCTGCTCCCGGCGCTGCTGCAGCAGCTGGGCCAGGAGAACCCCCAGCTCCTACAGGTGGGCCCCCACGGACCCTGACCCCATCCCCATCCCCTTCCCTTGGCCCCATTTCCCCCTTCCTTTCCCCCCTTTTTCCCTTTCCCTTCCCCTGTTCCCCTTCCCTTTTCCCTCTTCCCTTTCCCGTCCCTTTTCCCTTTCCCTCCTTCCCCCCTTTTCCTTCCCTTTCCCCCTTCTCTTGTCCCCCTTCCCGTTCCCCTTTCCTTTTCCCCCTGACCTTTTCATTTCCCTTTTCCCCTTCTCTTTTCCCCCTTCCCTTTCCCCCTTCCCTTTTCCCACTTCCCTTTTTCCCCTTCCCTTTTCCCCTTTCCCCTTCCTTTTAACCCTTTTCCCTTCCCTTTTACCCCCTTTTCCTCCTTCCTTTTCCTTCCCTTTCCCCCTTCCCTTTCCCCTTCCCGTGTTCCCCTTTCCCCTTCCTTTTCCCCCTGACCTTTCCCCCCTTTCCCCTTCCCTTTCCCCCCTTTTCCTTTTCTTTGTTCCCTTTTCCCCCTCCATTTTCCCCCTTTTCCTCCTCCTTTTTACTCCTTTCCTTTTCCTCTTCCCTTTTCCCCCTTCCCTCCCCCCTTTCCCCTTCTTCCATTTCTTTCCTTTTCCTGCTTCCCCTTTCCCCTCCCCCCTTTTCCCCTTCCTCCCCCCTCCCCCTCACCCCCTCCTCTCCCCCCCCCAGCAAATCAGCCAGCACCAGGAGCAGTTCATCCAGATGCTCAACGAGCCCCTGGGCGAGCTGGGGGAGGCCGAGGGGGAGATGGGGGCCATCGGGGACGAGGCCCCGCAGATGAGCTACATCCAGGTGACGCCGCAGGAGAAGGAAGCCATAGAGCGGGTAAGGGCCCAGGGCACGGGGAGGGACGTGTGGGGCAGCCCCATAGCGCCGGGAGGCTCTGGGGTTAATGGGACATGTGGGGCAGCCCCATAGCATCAGTAGGCTCCATGGTTAACAGAGGGATGTGGGGCAGCCCCATAGCGGCGGGAGGCCCCAGGGTTAACAGAGGGATGTGGGGCAGCCCCATAGCGCCGGGAGGCTCTGGGGTTAATGGGACATGTGGGGCAGCCCCATAGCATCAGTAGGCTCCAGGGTTAACAGAGGGATGTGGGGCAGCCCCATAGCATCAGTAGGCTCCATGGTTAACAGAGGGATGTGTGGGGCAGCCCCATAGCCTCAGTGGGCCGCAGGGTTAATGGGACATGTGGGGCAGCCCCATAGCCTCAGTGGGCCCCAGTGTTAACAGAGGGATGTGGGGCAGCCCCATAGCCTCAGTAGCCCCCAGTGTTAACAGAGGGATGTGGGGCAGCCCCATAGCCTCAGTGGGCCGCAGGGTTAACAGAGGGATGTGGGGCAGCCCCATAGCCTCAGTGGGCCCCAGGGTTAACAGAGGGATGTGGGGCAGCCCCATAGCCTCAGTGGGCCCCAGGGTTAACAGAGGGAGGTGTGGGGCAGCCCCATAGCGTCGGGAGGCTCTGGGGTTAACGGGACATGTGGGGCAGCCCCATAGCCTCAGTGGGCCCCAGGGTTAACAGAGGGATGTGTGGGGCAGCCCCATAGCCTCAGTGGGCCCCAGGGTTAACAGAGGGATGTGTGGGGCAGCCCCATAGCCTCAGTGGGCCCCAGGGTTAACAGAGGGATGTGTGGGGCAGCCCCATAGCCTCAGTGGGCCCCAGGGTTAACAGAGGGATGTGTGGGGCAGCCCCATAGCATCAGTGAGCCCCAGGGTTAACAGAGGGATGTGTGGGGCAGCCCCATAGCATCAGTAGGCCCCAGGGTTAACAGAGGGATGTGGGGCAGCCCCATAGCCTCAGTGGGCCCCAGGGTTAACGCCTGTCTCAGCTCAAGGCCCTGGGCTTCCCCGAGGGCCTCGTCATCCAGGCCTATTTCGCCTGCGAGAAGAACGAGAACCTCGCCGCCAACTTCCTGCTCAGCCAGAACTTCGATGACGACTGAAGGGGGGGAGGGGCGCGACCCCCCCCCTCCCCCCTCCCTCTCTTCAATGGGGGAGGGGGGACATTTCCCCTCCCCCCTCCTCTCCTCCTCATTCACCCCCATTCCCATCAATGGGGAGGAGGAGGGAATGGTGACCACGCCCCCCTCCCCCCTCTCCATTCACATTGTGGGGGGGAAGGAGGGGGTTGGGGGTGGGGGAACCATAATGGGGGAGGGGGAGGAATCTTTAATTGGGGGATTTGGGGCAAAACCCCAGGATTTTGGGAGGGGGGGGGAGGGCAATAAAAAGAGATGAAATGCGAATTTTAAACCCATTTTTGGGGGGTGGGGGGTGATGGGGGCGGGGTCAAGAGGAGGTGGGGGGGAGCTTGGAGGTATCTGCAGCGACTCCAGCAGGGGGCGCTCTCGCCGCTGCCGCTTCCTCGGCCGCAGCCAGGGCGCTCTTCATGGCCTCTTGTCGCTCCAGGCGTTGGCGCCGCTTCTCCTCCTTCCGCTGCTGCCGCTCCAGGTCCTCCAGCAGCGCCTGCGCCCGGGCCGCTCTGCGCTGGGCTCCCCCCGCCGCGAGTCCTCCCTCCGCTAGGAGGCGCTGTCGCCTCTCGGCGTCCGCTCTGGCCTTGGCGCGCTCCCGCTCCCGCTGCTCGCGCCACGCGCGCACCCGCTCCGGCATCGCCGCCAGCGCCGCTGCCACCTGCGCCTGCCTGCGGGGGGGGGGGGACACGGGCAGAGAGAGCGGCGCGGTGCGAGGGCGCCCCCTGCTGCACGGGGGGAGTCAAGCAACGAACAGCAGCGCTGCGCTCCCGGGGCACCCCGGTGCAACCCAATGCATCCCAATGCTCCCAGTACATCACAGTGCATCCCAGTGCAACCCAGTGCAACCCAGTGCTCTCAATGCAACCCAATGTGCTCAGTACATCCCAGTGCTCCCAGTGCATCCCAAAGCTCCCCAGTACATCCCAAAGCTCCCAGTGCTCTCAGTGTATCCCAATGCATCCCAATGCTCCCCAGTGCTCTCAGTGCATCCCAGTACATCCCAGTGCTCTCAATGCAACCCAATGCTCCCCAGTGCTCTCAGTGCATCCCAGTGCATCCCAATGCTCCCAGTTCAACCCAATGCTCTCAGTGCATCCCAATGCATCCCAATGCTCCCAGTGCATCCCAGTGCTCTCAGTGCATCCCCGTGCTCCCAGTACATCCCAATGCTCCCAGTGCATCTCAACGCTCCCCATTCTCAGTGCATCCTAGTGCTCCCCAGTGCATCCTAATGCTGCCAGAGCAACCCAATCCATCCCAGTGCTCCCAGTGCATCCCAATGCTCCCAGTGCAACCCAATGCTCCCAGTGTATCCCAAAGCTCCCAGTGCTCCCAGTGCATCCAAATGCTCCCCAGTGCTCTCAGTGCATCCCAATGCTCCCAGTGCTCCCAGCGCATCCCAGTGCATCCCAGTGCTCCCACTGCATCCCAGTGCATTCAGTGCTCCCCAGTGCATCCCAATGCTCCCAATGCTCCCAGTGCTTCCAGTGCAACCCAATGCATCCCAGTGCTCCCAGTGCATTCAGTGCCCCCCCTCCCCGCACCTCTCCAGCCGCTTCCTCTCCTCCTCCCTCTCGCGCCGCTCCAGCTCCCGCAGCGTCTCCCACAGCGGCGGCTCCCGCTCCCGCTGCTCCTCCTCCAGCTCCCGGAGCCGCTCCGGCCCCGGCCACAGCTCCCGGAGCGGCGCCACCGCCGCCGCCTCCCCGAAGCGCCCGAAGCGCCGCGCGGCCTCGCGTGGGTCCGAGGGGTCCCCCGGGGCCGGGCCCGGCCGCAGCCGGAGGGGGGGCGCTCGGTACCAGCGGAGCCCCAACGGGAAACGGGAGCGGGACAAGGCCGGGCCTAGCGCGGCCCGCACCATGGGCACCGCCATCTTGATATGAAGGAGCGGTAACCGGAGGAGAGGCGCCCCCTTGCGGCGGGGAGGAGTCAATGGGGGTGTCACAGAAGAGCGCCCCCTGGCGGCGGGGAGGACTCAATGGGGGTGTCACAGAAGAGCGCCCCCTGGCGGCGGGGAAGAGTCAATGGGGGCGTCACAGAAGAGCGCCCCCTGGCGGCGGGGAGGGGTCAATGGGGGTGTCACAGAAGAGCGCCCCCTGGCGGCGGGGAGGAGTCAATGGGGGTGTCACAGAAGAGCGCCCCCTGGCGGCGGGGAGGGGTCAATGGGGGTGTCACAGAAGAGCGCCCCCTGGCGGCGGGGAGGAGTCAATGGGGGCGTCACAGAAGGGCGCCCCCTGGCGGCGGGGAGGACTCAATGGGGCTGTCACAGAAGAGCGCCCCCTGGCGGCGAGGAGGACTCAAGGGGGGTGTCACAGAAGAGCGCCCCCTGGCGGCGGGGAGGAGTCAATGGGGGCGTCACAGAAGAGCGCCCCCTGGCGGCGAGGAGGACTCAATGGGGGCGTCACAGAAGAGCGCCCCCTGGCGGCGGGGGAGGATGAGAATGGGGGCGTCACAGAAGAGCGCCCCCTGGCGGCGGGGAGGAGTCAATGGGGGTGTCACAGAAGAGCGCCCCCTGGCGGCGAGGAGGACTCAAGGGGGGCGTCACAGAAGAGCGCCCCCTGGCGGCGGGGAGGAGTCAATGGGGGTGTCACAGAAGAGCGCCCCCTGGCGGCGAGGAGGACTCAAGGGGGGGGTCACAGAAGAGCGCCCCCTGGCGGCGGGGAGGAGCCGCGGTAAGAAGGACACCCCTGGGGGGGAGCGGCGGCGCCCAGAGGACGGCGCCCCCTGGCGGCGGGGAGGACTCGGGCTAAAAGCGGGGGGGTATCACCGAGGAGCGCCCCCTGGCGGCGGGGAGGAACGGGCGGCTGCACGGCCCCTCTTTATGGTGGGGGTCGCTCCATCGCCCCTCCCCCCCTTGTTTTTGGGGGGAGATTTGGGGCTCGGCGCCTTTTCCCCTCCCCCCCTCCACCTGCCCTTCCCCCCCCCCCCCAAACCCCCCCCCTTTTTCACCCGCAGCCAAGCCCGGGGCCGCTGCCAAGGGCTCGGCGCCGTTAACCCCTCCCTGCCCGCTGCCCCCCCCCCTTTTCCGCGTCCCCCCCTCCCCCATTGACCCCCCACCATTGACCGAGTTTGGGGGTTCGGGGGGGGGGTGGGAACGAAATGGGGGGGGGGGGAGCAGCCGGTAACGAGCAAAAGGGGGTGGGGGCCCCCCTCTTCCTCCGTCTGCCCCCGATTGGGCCCCATGGGGAGGGGGGGGCGGGGGGGGGCCCCTAATGGCTTCCAGGCCTCGAATCTGCCGCTACCCGGAGCCAAAACCCCTTGAAATCGCCCCAAAAGCATCCCCGGGGGAGGGGAGCCGGGGGTCGCCCCCCTAAGCCCAGCCAAAGGGAGGGGCCCGTTTTGGGGTTATTTCGCGTGATTTTGGGACCTCCGCCCGGTTTGGCTCTCCCCAGCCCTCGGTAGCCCCCCCCCTCCCCCCTCCCCCCCCGGGGGGCGCTGGCACCGGGTGCTGACAGATGGCGGGGGCCGGGGCCGCAGCCGGGATGGGGGGGGGGAGGGGAGGGGGGGGCATCCCGATATCCCCATATCCCGATATCCCCATATCCCGATATCCCCATATCCCGATATCCCCATATCCCGATATCCCCATATCCCGATATCCCCATTTAGCCACGTCCCCATAGCCCATAGCCCCACACCCCATGTCCCCTATCGCGATATCCCCCTGTCGCCACATCCCCGTGTCCCATGTCCCTCTGTCCCGTATTCCCATATATCCCCGTATACCCGTTTCCCAGTGTCCCTGTATCCCCATTTCCCCACATCTGCATGTCCCATGTCCCTATAGCCCATATCCCTGTATCTTATATCCCCATTTCCTCATGTCCCACATCCCTATATCCCCATTTCCCCATACCCCATTCCCCATATCCCATACCCCATACCCCATATCCCATATCCCATATCCCATACCCCATATCCCATACCCCATATCCCATATCCCATATCCCATACCCCATATCCCATAACCCATACCCCATACCCCATACCCCATACCCCATACCCATACCCCATATCCCATACCCCATACCCCATACCCCATACCCCATACCCATACCCCATACCCCATACCCCATATCCCATACCCGATACCCCATATCCCATATACCCCCCTTTCACACCCCCACTTCCACCCCTCCAAAGGAAGGGGGGCGTGGCCACACCTTAGTGGGCGTTTCCCATTGCCGGCAGTGGGCGGAGCCATCCCCCTTGGCGGGAGCCCCGAGATGCTGGAAGGGAGCGGGGAGGGCGGGGGGGAGAGGAGGGGCGTGGTCAGGACGGAGCGGGGGGGGGAGTGGGCGTGGCTTGTGCCGGGGCGGGGGCGTGGCCATCGCGGCTCTTCCCGCGGCAAAAGTGCGGCGGGCGCCAACTTCGCTCAAACTTTCCCCGCGCGCCGCCGGTACCGGGAACCCCGCCCCTCCCCCCCCTCATTCCTCATCCCGGGGACCCCCCTCCCCCCCCCTCCTCCTCATTCCTCCGAGCCCCTCCCCCCCCACGCCATGCCCCGGTGCGGCTGACACCGCCGCCATGTACTCCCCGTACTGCCTGACCCAGGTACGGCCGCAACGGGGGGGGGGCGGGGGGGGAAAAACGGGGTTCGGGTGGGGGTGGGGATTGGGGGGCAACGGTAACGTTGGAACCGATGGGGGATAACGGAGGGGGGGAGGGGTCCTGACTTTCTTCGTTCCGGTTCTAAAGTGATGGGGGGGCTGGGGGGGGTCATTCCCGTTACCGGTAACGGGACCCGCGCAGAGAAAAAGGGGGGGATGGGACCCGACCCCCTCCCATTGCCCTATAAGTTAGGGGGGGAATGGGGCAGCGCTGCCCCATGGTGCCCTCGGGACCCCCAACACCCCCCCAAAGGGGGCTGCGCGCTCAGCCCATAACGGGGACCATGAAGGGAAGAGAAGCGGCGCCGTCAGCGAGTGGGGTGTTGGGGTCACTTATGGGGATGCCCATAAGGGGTCACTTATGGGGTGTGGGGGCTCATTGTTGAGGGGGGGGCTATGGGGTGGTGTTGGGGGTCCCTGTGCCCCCCCTCCCCCATTGCTGTCACCCCCCCCCCTCTCTTTTTACCCCTTTCCCCCCTCTTTTGGCTTTGGTTTTGGCGGCCGCCGGCGCCTGGGCCCGAAGCCAGCGCCGCTTCTCGAGGCTTCGGCGCCCGCCCCGCACACGCGTGTGCACGCGGCAGCGCCCCTGTGTGCGCACGCGTGTGTTCATGCGTGTTCACGCGTGTTCACCCCCACCTTCACCTCCCTTTCCCCCCCCCCACCACCCCAATGCGCACCCCTTTCCCAGCCAGGTCTGAGCCGCTGCCACCCGGGTACCGGTGCCACGCGATGCCGTGGGCACGGGATAACGGCACCGCCACGGGCACGCGTGTCCGTGGCGTGTTCAAGCCATGGACCCCTCCTCGCATCCCAGCATCCTGGTTACGGGACCCACAGCTCCTTATGGGTGCTGCCAATGGCGAGGCCGCGGCCCTATGGGACCCGTCTATGATGGCAGCACAAATGGGGGGGGGGGGGTCACATCCGGATGCCTCAGGTGGGCTTCACCCATGCGGGACCTCGCACACGCGTGTAATGGGGGGGGGGGATGCGCGCACACGCGTGTGCGACACGTGGCAACGCGCGGCACACGCGTGTGCGAGGCGGGGGCCCCGTGGCTGATGCAATCAGTGCCCCCCCCCTTTCCCTCCAATCGCAAAGAAGGGGGAGGGGAGGGGGGGTTCACATGTTCCTAGCGTGTGCGCGGCGGCGATGCTTTGCACACGCGTGACCGGGCGTGTGTCCCACATGTGCGCACCCCCCCCCCCCCATCACCACCATTGGATGCTGGAGGCATCAATAATGGAGGAGGCTTTGCGCCCTGAATTATTGATGGGGCACAAAAAGCTTTCTTGGCCGCGGTTGCACCATGGGGGCCCCCCCCCTTCAAACCCCCCCTTGGTTTGGCCTGGCACGAGGCCACGGTGAGGGTCGGGCCCGTTCTGCATTGGGAATGGTGGGAATTGGATGTTGGGATAGGGATTGTGATGGGGATGATGGGGAATGGTTTGGATCCCGGCCGCCTGCGCCCATCGGTGCCAAACGGCATCGGCCCCGGCGCTGCGGCACCGCCTGGAGCCAATGCGGCGTGAACCCCCCCCCCAAATCAATGCGGTGTAAATGAGGGGGGGGACTTCCAACCACATTCACCCGCCCTTTGGCTTTATTCCATTGGGAATAAAGGGGGGGTCCCCACCACGTTCCTGGACCTGGCATCTCCACGTGGCTGCGGGCAGGGGATGGGCACCGGCTGCTTCCGAACGCATCAACATCCCATAATACCCCAGGAACACCCCCAAATACCTCAATACCCCCCCCCCGCCACCCCAAAACCACCTCGGACCCCAACCCCGCATCCATGGATCCTGTGGGTCCAGGCCAAGGGTCCAGGGATCTCCATTGGAGCCAGTGGATGGGCACCGGCTCCTTCTGCACACAGCAACATCCCATAATAACCCAGACCCCCCCCTAAATACATCAACCCCCCCCCCCATTCAAACCCATTGGACCCCCCCCTCTTTGGCTGCGTGGATCCTTTGGATCCAGGGCGGCTCCATCCAGGGATCCCTTTGGATCCATGCAATGAGCAATGGGGCTCCTTCATAACTATAACTATAACATAACCCTCCCTATAACTATAACTATAACAATAACATACTATAACTATAACTATAACATAACTATAACATAACTCATAACTATAACTTATAACATAACCCCCCCCTATAACTCCCCATAACCCACCCATAACATATCTATAACCGCCCCATAACATAACCCCCCCCTATAACCCTCCTATAACTATAACATAACATAACCCACCCCATAACATAACATAACATAACATAACCCCCTTACTTGCACCCCAATCCCCTCCTCCTCCCCCCTCCCCAGACCCATCCAGCACATTCCCTCCATCCCAAGCCTTGTGCTGGGGTCCCTTGTGCCCCCCCCATTCCCTTCCCTACTGATGGGGTCCAGGTTTCTTTTCACACATCACGGGAGGGTCTTGGCAGCGCCATCAGGGGCCGCCGGGGGGGATTTTTGGCTTCAATTCCACCTTTTTTGGGCCATTTTCTCTCGTGGCAAAGCCCTTTGGGGGGGGGGGGGGGGTTGGCAACAGCGCAGGAAGGCGGGGATCAAAAAGGGGGGATTTAGAGGAAAAAACGGGGGGGTATATAAAAAAAAGGGTTTTTTTGGTGTTTTTTGCTCATTTTTCCCTTTTTTTCCCCCGTTTTCTGGGTTTTTCCCTCCCTGGCATTCCCCCCCCATTCATTCAATGCTGGCTCTTTGCCGGGCGCTCGCAGCTGCGGACGCGGCGACGTGGCTTCGCCCCGACACTGCGGCTCAATGCGGGGCCCAGCAGCCAATGGGGTGTCCCCGTGTCCCCCCCCATAGCCCCATGCATCAACGCTGACCCCCAAGTCCATAGTGGGGACGCACCCCATTGCCCCGCGTCCGGTGCTGTAGGGTCTGGATCTTTCCATGCTGGCATCGGTGCCGGTGGTCGGGAGGGGAATGGGGTTGGGTTGGGCTGGGGGAGGGTTGTTTGTATGGGGGGTATGGGGGTGGCCTCGTGGTATTGGGGTGACCCAAGGGGTCTTTGTTCCTATGGGGGGACCCATGGTGTCCTTATGGCGTTGGGTTCAACCAACGGCTCTTTGTCCCTATAGGACTGTGTCCAGATGGCATTGGGTTGACCCAATGGCTTTTTGTCCCTATGGGGGGACCCATGGTGTCCTCATGGTATTGGGGTGACCCAATGGGTCTTTGTTCCTATGGGGGGATCCATGGTGTCCTCATGGTATTGGGGTGACCTAGAGGCTCTTTGTCCCTATAGGACTGTGTCCGGATGGCATTGAGTTCACCCAACGGCTCTTTGTCCCTATGGTGGGACCCATGGTGTCTGGATGGCATTGGGTTGACCCAACGGCTCTTTGTCCCTATGGGGTGACCCATAGCATCCTGATGGCATTGGGCTGACCCAACGGCTCTTTGTTCCTATGGGGGGACCCATGGTGTCCTCATGGTATTGGGGTGACCCAACGGCTCTTTGTCCCTATGGGGTGACCCATAGCATCCTGATGGCATTGGGTTGACCCAACAGCTCTTTGTCCCTATGGGGTGACCCATGGTGTCCTCATGGCATTGGGGTGACCCAACAGCTCTTTGTCGCTATGGGGGGATTGGATGGTATTGGGTTGACCTGGTGGCTCTTTGTCCCTATGGGAGGGCCAATGGTATCCTGATGGTGTTGGGTTGACCTGGCGGCTCTTTGTCCTTATGGGACCATGCTCATGGCATTGGGTTGACCCAACGGCTCTTTGTCCCTATGGTGTCCTCATGGCATTGGGTTGACCCAACAGCTCTTTGTCCCTATGGGGTGACCCATAGTATCCTGCTGGCATTGAGTTGACCCAACGGCTCTTTGTCCCTATGGGGGGACCCATAGTGTCCTCATGGCATTGACAGCTCTTCATCCTTATGGGGTGACCCATGGTGTCCAGATGGCATTGAGTAGACCTGGTGGCTCTTTGTCCCTATGGGGAGACCCATGGTGTCCTCATGGCATTGGGTTGACCTGGAGACTCTTTGTCCCTATGGGGTGACCCATCCTGATGGCATTGAGTTGACCTAGTGGCTTTGTCCCTATGGGGTGACCCACGGTGTCCTCATGGCATTGGGTTGACCCAACACCTCTTTGTCCCTATGGGATGGCCAATTGTGTCCCGATGGCATTGACCTGGTGGTGGCTTTGTCCCTATGGGGGTCCCCATGTCCTCATGGCATTGGGTTGACCTGGTGGCTCTTTGTCCCTATGGGGGCTATAGGGTACCCCATTGATGCCAGGTTGACCTGGTGGCTCTTTATCCCTATGGGGGCTATAGGGTACCCCATTGATGCCAGGTTGACCTGGTGGCTCTTTATCCCTATGGGGGCTATAGGGTACCCCATTGATGCCAGGTTGACCTGTCAGCTCTTTGTCCTTATGGGGATGGGGGGGGCACACACAGAGGTTGTGGGGCCCCCTTCCCATGGCCCCAATGGGTGCTGATGGGCCTGAGGGTGCCATGGGGCAGAGCAAGGGGGGGGTTCTGGGTACCTTTGATCACCCCCATCCCCTTCCATAGGCTCTATAGAGAAAAGGGGGGGGGGGGTCAGCACCAATGCGTGCACCCCCACACACACACCCCCCTCACTGCGGTTTTGGGGTGAAAACTGCACAGTTTGGGGTTGTTAGGGGAGCCTCCCCCCCCGTCGGCAAAAAGCCCAAATTTTGGTGGTTTTGGGATTGATTTTCTCCATGCACAGAGGGAATTAATTACGGGGAAAGTTTGGCTCCGAGCACCGCGCGCAGGGATTTTGGGGGCAGAAACGGAGGTTTTGGGTTGTTCCCGCGCCACGGGGCTGCGGAAAGCGGCCAAAATCCGGGACTTCCCCCCCAAAATTCACCCCCTCCCCCCCCCAAATTCACCCCTCCCCCCCCCATATCCCGGTGTGAACTGGAGGGGGGGGAGAATGGACGGGAATGTGTGTGTTCCGATGGGTGAGCGCGGCCCCGGCGTCCTCGCCCGACCCTGGCGCTGCTCCGACACGGGTTTGGGTGAAAATCGTGGGATTTTGGGGTTTTAGGTGCAGGTCGTGCTGTTTTGGGTGCAGATCGTGGGGTTTTGGGTGCAGATCGTGGGGTTTTGGGGTTTTGGGTGAAGATCGTGGGGTTTTGGGGCAGATCGTGGGGTTTTGGGGTTTTAGGTGAAGATCGTGGGGTTTTGGGGCTTTAGGTGAAGATCGTGGGGTTTTGGGGTTTTAGGTGAAGATCGTGGGGTTTTGGGTGCAGATCGTGGGGTTTTGGGGGTTTTGGGTGAAGATCGTGGGGTTTTGGGTGCAGATCGTGGGGTTTTGGGGTTTTGGGTGAAGATCGTGGGGTTTTGGGTGAAGATTGTGGGGTTTTGGGTGCAGATCGCGGGGTTTTGGGTGCAGATCGCGGGGTTTTGGGTTCAGATCGCGGGGTTTTGGGGCAGATCGTGGGGTTTGGAGTGAAGATCCCGGTGTTTGGGTGCAGATCGCGGGGTTTTGGGTTCAGATCGCGGGGTTTTGGGTTCAGATCGCGGGGTTTTGGGGCAGATCGCGGGGTTTTGGGTGCAGATCGCGGGGTTTTGGGGCAGATCGCGGTTTTTTGGGTGCAGATCGCGGGGTTTTGGTGCAGATCGCGGGGTTTTGGGGCAGATCGCGGGGTTTTGGGTGCAGATCGCGGGTTTTTGGGTGCAGATCGCGGGTTTTTGGGTGCAGATCGCGGGGTTTTGGGGCAGATCGCGGGGCTTTGAGTGCAGATCGCGGATTTTTGGGTGCAGATCGTGAGGTTTTGGGTGCAGATCGCGGGGTTTTGGGTGCAGATCGCGGGGTTTTGGGTGCAGATCGTGAGGTTTTGGGGCAGATCGCGGGTTTTTGGGTGCAGATCGCGGGGTTTTGGGGCAGATCGCGGGGTTTTGGGTGCAGATCCAGGGGTTTTTGGGTGCCGGTCGCGGGTTTTGGGGCAGATCGCGGGGTTTTGGGTGCAGATCGCGGGGTTTTGGGGCAGATCGCGGGGTTTTGGGTTCAGATCGCGGGTTTTTGGGTGCAGATCGCGGGGTTTTGGGTGAAGATCGCGGGGTTTTTGGGGCCAGTGAGGGGTTTTTGGGTGCAGATCGCGGGTTTTTGGGTGCAGATCGCGGGGTTTTGGGTTCAGATCGCGGGTTTTTGGGTGCAGATCGCGGGGTTTTGAGTGCAGATCGTGAGGTTTTGGGGCAGATCGCGGGTTTTTGGGTGCAGATCGTAGGTTTTGGGTGCAGATCGCGGGTTTTTGGGTGCAGATCGTAGGTTTTTTGGTGCAGATCGCGGGGTTTTGGGGCAGATCGTGAGGTTTTGGGTGCAGATCGCGGGTTTTTGGGTTCAGATCGCGGGTTTTTGGGTGCAGATCGCGGGTTTTTGGGTGTTTCCTCCCCTTTTCTCCATGTCCCGGCCCCGAACTCCACCGGGTCCCCCCCTCCCTTGCTCCTTCTTCTTCCCCCGTTTCCCTCTCCTCGCATTCAAAATCCCGTCCCATCCAATGGGGTGCCCGCTCCCCCCGCGCGCTGCGCTCCCATTGGCCAACGCCGTTCCGGTCCCGGTGCCAAAAGGGGCCGCGGCGGCTCCGCGCCCGGCGGCGGCAGCGGCGGCTCCGGCTGCGGCTCCGCGGCGGCGGCACCGGGACCCCCCCCCCCCCCTTGCATCAGGGACCCCCCCCCATTATCCCCATCATTGGGGACCCCCCCTTCCAACCCCATCCCCGTAACCGGGACCCCGCATCCCCGTTATCCCCGCATCCCGTTGTGGGGTCCCCGTCCCCCCCCTATCTCCGCCCTTTACCCGGTTCTGCCCCGACGGGGCCCGAGCGGCAGCGGTACCCAGGGCCGGGATGAGCCGCCGCTATGGTACGGATGGGACCGGGATCGGACGGGGCGGGCGAGGCGCCGCTGAGCACCGCGATGGGGTCCGGGGATGGGGATGGGAACGGGAGCGGCGGCACCGGGATGCGATCGAGCCCCGAGCACGGGGAACGGCACCGGGGGTGCGGGATCGGGAGCCGGGTCCTTCCCTATGGTGGGATCCGGTGGGAGCCCCCTCGGGGTGCTCCGTGTGGGACCGGGGTTGGTCCATGGATGTCGGGAGCATCCCATGGGATGTTATGGATGGGATGGGGGAGGAGGGGTTCGGGATGGGGGGGGATCCCTTGGGGGTTCCCTGGGGAGGATGAGGGGTGGGATAAGGGGTGGATGGGGGGCAGGATGAGGGGTAGATGAGGGGCAGGATAAGGGGTGGATGGGGAGCAGGATATGGGGCAGGATAAGGGGTGGATGGGGAGCAGGATATGGGGCAGGATAAGGGGTGGATGGGGAGCAGGATATGGGGTGGGATATGGGATGGATGGGGGGCAGGATGGGGGTAGATGGGGCAGGATAAGGGTTGGATGGGGGGCAGGATATGGGGCAGGATAGGGGGTGGATGGGGGGCAGGATGGGGCAGGGTAAGGGATGGATGGGGGGGCAGGATATGGGCAGGATAGAGGGGTGGATGGGGGCAGGTAGGGGGTAGGATAAGGGGTGGATGGGGGGCAGGATGAGGGGTAGATGGGGGGCAGGATATGGGGTGGATGGGGGGCAGGATATGGGGCAGGATAAGGGGTGGATGGGGGGCAGGATGAGGGGTAGATGAGGGGCAGGATAAGGGGTGGATGGGGGGCAGGATATGGGGCAGGATAAGGGGTGGATGGGGGGCAGGATATGGGGCAGGATAAGGGGTGGATGGGGGGCAGGATGAGGGGTAGGATGGGTGCTCATCCCTTGGGCTCTCCCTGAGCAGAACAGGGTCCGGGATAAGGGGTGGGATGTGGGGATTCAAGCCCTGCTTGCTCCCTGGGCAGGATAAGGGGTGGGATAAGGGGCAGGATAAGGAGCAGATGAGGGGCAGGATATGGGGCAGATGAGGGGCAGGATAAGGAGCAAATAAAGGGTGGGATAAGGCGCAGGTGAGGGGCAGGATGAGGGGAGGATAAGGAGCAGGATAAGGGGTGGATGAGGGGCAAGATATGGGGCAGGATAAGGGGTGGATTAGGGGCAGGATAAGGGTACAGGACAAGGAGTGGGATAAGGATGCAGGACAAGGAGCGGGATAAGGCTGCAGGATGGGTGCTCATCCCTTGGGCTCTCCCTGAGCAGAACAGGGGTCCAGGATGAGGGGTGGGATAAGGAGCAAATAAAGGGTGGGATAAGGTGCAGATGAGGGGCAGGATGAGGGGTGGATGAGAGGCAGGATAAGGGGAAGATGAGGGGCAGGATGGGGAGCAGGATAAGGGGACAGGATAAGGGGGCAGGATGAGGAGCAGATAAGGGGCAGGACGAGGAGTGGGATAAGGGGCAGGATAAGGGGCAGATAAGGGGCAGGATGGGGAGCAGGATAAGGGGACAGGATAAGGGGCAGATGAGGGGCAGATGAGGGGCACGATAAGGGGCAGATAAGGGGACAGGATAAGGGGCAGATATGGGGCAGGATAAGGAGCCAATAAGGGGCAGGATAAGGATACAGCCCAAGGAGCGGTATAAGTCTACAGGATGGATGCTCATCCCTTGGGCTCTCCCTGAGCCGACCAGGCTCCTGGCTGATGGGTGGGATATGGGGCAGATGAGGGGCAGTATAAGGGGCAGATAAGGGGCAGTATAAGGGACAGGATAAGGAGCAGGATAAGGGGCAGGATAAGGGGCAGATGAGGAGCAGGATAAGGACACAGGATGGGTGCTCATCCCTTGCGCTCCCCGAGCCTGCCAGTACCCCATATAACACCCAGCATACAAGAACACCCAACCCCCCTCCCCACCACCCCCTAACCATTACACCAACCCCACTACCACCCCCATGACACCCCATTACCCCCCTTTACACCCCATTACCCCCCCTTTACCAGGATGAATTCCACCCCTTCATCGAAGCCCTCCTGCCCCACGTGCGCGCCTTCTCCTACGCCTGGTTCAACCTCCAGGCCCGCAAGCGCAAGTACTTCAAGAAGCACGAGAAGAGGATGCCCAAGGAGGAGGAACGCGCCGTCAAGGCCGAGCTCCTGGGCGAGAAAGCCGAGGTCAAGCAGAAATGGGCCTCGCGCCTCCTGGCCAAGCTCCGCAAGGACATCAGGCCCGAGTGCCGCGAGGACTTTGTGCTCTCCGTCACCGGCAAGAAACCCCCTTGCTGCGTCCTCTCCAACCCGGATCAGAAAGGGAAGATCCGGCGCATCGATTGCCTGCGCCAAGCGGACAAGGTTTGGCGCTTGGATTTGGTGATGGTGATCCTGTTTAAAGGGGTGCCGTTGGAGAGTACCGACGGGGAGAGGTTGGCTAAGGCGCCCCAATGCGCGAGTCCCGGGCTCTGCGTGCAGCCCCATCATATCGGGGTCACCGTTAAGGAGTTGGATTTGTACCTGGCGTATTTTGTGCGGTCTGGTGAGTAGGGGTGAGGGGGTGATGGGGGGGAATGGGGGGGCTTGATGGGTCCAATGGGGGGCTGAACGCGGCACATACATATATAGACACACCCCCATAACAGTGGCCCATAGGTTCCTTATGGGGGGGGGTGTGGGGGGCTTCGCACAAAGGTGAGGTGTGGGCCAAAGTGTGCCATGCGTGTGCCAAAGCGTGTGCCATGTGTGTGCCAAATCATGTGCCATGTGTGTGCCATGTGTGCACCATGCCTGTGCCAAAGCATGTGCCATGCGTGTGCCAAAGCGTGTGCAATGCGTGTGCCAAAGCAAGTGCCATGCATGTGCCAAAGCATGTGCCATGCGTGTGCCAAAGTGTGCGCCATGCATGTGCCAAAGGGTCTGCCATGCGTGTGCCAAAGTGTGTGCCATGCGTGTGCCAAAGTGTGTGCAATGCATGTGCCAAAGCATGTGTTGTGCGTGTGCCATGCATGTGCCAAAGTGTGTGCCGTGCATGTGCCAAATCATGTGCCAAAGCGTGTGCCATGCGTGCGCCATGCATGTGCCAGGCGGGCACCAGGAGCAGTGCATGGAGCAGGGATGTGCACCAGGATCAGTGATGGAGCGAGCACCGAGCACCAGGCACCGCATTGTGCACCGGGCTCTACCATTGACCACACTGTGCCATGACCTGTGCCATGCAGTGAGCACCGCATTGTACCATGCACCGAGCACTGCATTGTGCACTGGGCTCTACCATCCCCTGCACTGTGCCATGACCTGTGCCATGCACCATGCACCGAGCACTGCATTGTACCATGCACCGAGCACTGCATTGTGCACTGGGCTCTACCATCCACTGCACTGTGCCATGACCTGTGCCATGCACCAAGCACTGAGCACCGTGGTGTGCACCGGGCTCGACCATTCACTGGGCTGTGCCCTGCACCGTGCACTGCGTTGTGCCATGCACCGAGCACCAGGCTCTGCTGTGCCCCATGCACTGCACTGAGCCATGCACCGAGCCATGCACCATGCACCATGCACTGCACTGAGCCATGCACAATCCTATGCACTGACCCCTGCACCATGCACTGTGTACCATGCACTATGCACTGCACCGTGCCATGCACCATTCTATGCACCGAGCCCTGTGCCATGCACCCTGCACTGAGCCCCATGCACTGCACCATGCACTGTGTAACGCACCGTGCCATGCACCGAGCACCAGGCTCTGCTGTGCCCCATGCACTGCACCGTGCCATGCACCGTTCTATGCACCGAGCCCTGTGCCATGCACTGTGCCCCATGCACTATGCACTGCACCGTGCCATGCACCATTCTATGCACCGAGCCCTGTGCCATGCACCATGCACTGCACCGTGCCATGCACCGTTCTATGCACCGAGCCCTGTGCCATGCACTGTGCCCCATGCACTATGCACTGCACCGTGCCATGCACCATTCTATGCACCGAGCCCTGTGCCATGCACCATGCACTGCACCGTGCCATGCACCGTTCTATGCACCGAGCCCTGTGCCATGCACTGTGCCCCATGCACTATGCACTGCACCGTGCCATGCACCGTTCTATGCACCAAGCCCTGTGCCATGCACCATGCACCATGCCCCATGCCATGCACTATGCACTGCACTGTGCCATGCACTGTTCTATGCACCGAGCCCTGCGCCATGCACTGTGCACCATGCACTGCACTGTGCCATGCACCAAGCCATGCACCATGCACCGTGCACTGCACCGTGCCATGCACCATTCTATGCACCGAGCCCCATACACTGAGCCCTGTGCCATGCCCCATGCACTGAGCCCCATGCCCCCAGCCCCACACCCAGCCCCACATCCAGCCCCATGCCCCCATCCCAGTACCAGGCTCCTATCAAGCCCCATTGGTGCCGGTGCCCTGCTCCGGGCCCTGCTCTTCCCTTGCCGGGCCCTGGCACCGGCTCCTCGAGCACAGGCGTGGGCATGGAGGAGTTTGGGTTCAAAATGAAGGATTTTGGGGTTCAAAATGAACGATTTTGGGTCCAGAATGAAAGATTTTGGGTCCGAAATGAAGGATTTTGGGTCCAGAATGAAGGATTTTGGGTCCAGAATGAAGGATTTTGGGTCCAGAATGAAGGATTTGGGGTCCAGAATGAAGGATTTTGGGTCCAGAATGAAGGATTTGGGGTCCAGAATGAAGGATTTTGGGTCCACAGTGAAAGATTTTGGGTTTAGAAAGAACAATTTTTAGTCCGAAACATTTTGAGTCCGAACTGAAAGATTTTGAGTCCAGAATGAAGGTTTTTGGGTCCAAAATGAAGGATTTGGGGTCCACAATGAAGGATTTTGGGTTCAGAAAGAACGATTTTGAGTCTGAATGGAAAGATTTTCAGTCCAGATTGCAGGATTTTGGGTCTGAAATGAAGGATTTGGGGTCCAGAATGAAGGATTTTGGGTTCAGAAGGAATGATTTTGGGTCCGATTTTGGGTCAAAAAGTGGTGATTTTGGGTCAAAAAGAGGCGATTTTGGGTCAAAAAGTGGTGATTTTGGGTCAAAAAGAGGCGATTTTGGGTCCAAAAGTGGTGATTTTGGCTCAAAAAGAGGCGATTTTGGGTCCAAAAGAGGCGATTTTGGGTCAAAAAGAGGTGATTTTGGGTCCAAAAGAGGCGATTTTGGGTCAAAAAGAGGCGATTTTGGGTCAAAAAGAGGCGATTTTGGGTCAAAAAGAGGCGATTTTGGGTCCAAAAGAGGCGATTTTGGGTCAAAAAGAGGTGATTTTGGGTCCAAAAGGGGCGATTTTGGGTCCGAAATGAAGGATTTTGGGTCCAAAATGAAGGATTTGGGTCCAAAATGAAGGATTTGGGTCCAAAATGAAGGATTTTGGGTCCGAAATGAAGGATTCGGCTCCAAACTGTCCCATTTTGGGTCCAAAATGAAGGATTTTGGGTGCAGAAAGAAAGATTTTGGCTCCAGAACGCAGCATTTTGGGTCCTTCCAGCGGTGGGGGTGGGGTGGGGGTGGGGGGGGTCAGACCTCAGTATATGGGGGTGCCAACCCCTCCCCCCCATATAAACCCATCCCCCCCTCCCCCCACCCCCCCATGGGTTCGAGCCCCACCGCGGCTTCACCGGCGCCGCCAAAATGGCCCCGGTTGGCACCGTGCCCCCCTTCCCCTCCCCCCCATGGGTGGGGGTGGGGGAGTCTTTGGGCTGCTTGGGGGGCACGATGCCAACCCCCACCCCCACCCCCACCCCCCCCCCTTTTTTGGCGTAAGATGGCGGCGCCTTTTGGCACCCGAATGGCGCTGCGGCACCGCGGCAAAGGGGACCCTATGGGGACCCCCTGCCCCACACACGTGCACTCTATGGGGTGCCCCCACTTGGGGCTGTGCCCCTATAGGGGGGAGCACCCCAGTTTTATGCTTGGGGGGTGGGGGTGTGCCTATAGGAATCTATGGGGCACTGTCTATGGGGCTGTGTCTATAGGAGGCTTCAAGGGGGGCTGGGTGAGGGGGGGGTTGTGGGGTCTATGGGGCTCTATGGGGCTCTGTAAGGGTCTGGCTATAGGGGTCTGCAGGCAGGACCCATAGGGGTTAGGGGCAGGTGGTGCTATGGGGCTCCGGAAAGATCTATAGGGCTCCATGGGGCACGATGGGCCTCCATAGGGCTGCCTCTGTGGGGCTCTATAGGGACTCTCTGTTGGTCTATGGGGCTGGAGGAGGCCATAGGGGTCAAGGTGTGGGGGAGCACTCCCTATTGACCCATGGGGC